TCAGTCGTTTCGCTGCAAACCTGGGCATCCGTCACATCTTCACGGCCCCCTTTCATCCTGCCAGCAATGGATTGGCAGAGAGGGCCGTTAGGACCACAAAAGAAGCATTAGCCAGGTTCAACAAGGAGGACTGGCACCACAGACTCTCCCGTTTCTTGCTGAGTCAACACTCAACCCCGTGCACAGTCACTAATAAATCCCCTGCCGAACTCCTGATGGGTAGACTCCTAAGAACGGTGTTGGACAGGCTTCACCCTCATTACTGCCCTGACTCTCCCCTCGCTTCATTGTCAGGGGTTCGAGATTTTGTCTTGCAGGAACGCGTGTTCGCAAGGAACTACGCTGGAGACCCACTGTGGATCCCAGGAGAGATCGTAGCCATCACCGGTCCCAGGTCTTACCGAGTCCGGCTGGAGGATGGCCGTATCTGGAAAAGGCACCTGGACCAACTACGAAGGCGCCAAGGTACCCTCGCCAACGCAGAGTCATGGGCACAGATCAGCACTCAGTTACCGCACCAAACCCTCATCAACTCCAGCCCCAGAGTTCCTTCACCACCTCGAGCGGAGCCGGGGAACCAGGTCATAGACCAAGACCGTCTGTCGATCGATCCGTCCGAACCAGCAGTTGAGGACACATCATCACCGGCCAGCTGTACGACGCCCAGACCAGCGCAGACCGCTGTGCAAGCTCGCGATTCCCCACCGGTCCAACCTACCACTTCAGACTCTGAGTCACTTGTCAACTCACCCGAGTTGCACCGCTCAGGGCGCCAGCACAGACCACCTGCATATTTAAATACTATGCGTGTTCGCATCTGGGGGGAAGGGGTGTTATGTCCCTGGAACTTGCAAGAGTTCCCACCCAGGTCCGCTCACGCTGCGGGGGCGTTTGCTGTCCCTCATTGGCTGGTTTTCCCCAGCAGCCGGCTATAAAAGCAGGCTGCGGGGTTCGGCCAGCCGCTGATCGCTGCGAGCCAGTTCCAGGCTTGGCTAGCACGTTCAGTCCTTTATTGACACAATAAAGTATTTGTTGCACCCATGCTCTGGTCTAGCCTCTCATTGCTCAATCTACAACAAGTACCAGACTGGAAATCAGGAGAGTGTCAATTCTAATTCCATTTTAGGCACGAAAAACCAACTAGATAACTTTGGGCCTGTTTCTTTCTCTCAGCTCAACTCACCTCCATATCCTGTCTCAGAATTCAGTTTTGACTGGTCTGAAGTGTGTTTCTCTGTGTGTTCTCCTGAAACCAGATGGGATCTCTTGCCGTTGCAGTCTTTGATTTCTCTGAATTTGCTAATCCTTTCTGATAAATTCAGGAACTGATTAGATTAATACCCTGAACTTGTTCTGCTCAGGCCAGCTACTATTGGAACTGATTGCTTCTGAGCTATTTTTCAATTGTAGGGTCAATTTAGCAGGATCCACATGACTGATAGGTTGTGAAAATAAATCCCTTTGTTGTTGTTAGTTATGAAGTAGTGTCTGACCCCTCACAACCCCATGGACAATGTTCCTCCAAGCCTTGCAGGAGAAAATTAGGAGAAAAGATCAAATAAAGCAATTCAGCTTAGATTTTATCAGCCACACAGTTTCCCAACCACGAATTTATTCCAGCCGCTGTTACTAGTTTGTGAAAAGGGCAGCAAGTGCCCTTTAATTTACTGCAAAAAGCCCATTGACTTAAGCTGCAATAAAATAGACATTTGGAATTTTCAATTAAAAAAAAATAAAACAACTCACCCTAATTTGCCTTGACTATTTCATTTTAGTCGAGAGAATATTATGCTATTATTCTGGCCTGACAGTCCTAACACAATAAAATGAAATTCATTAAGTAAAGAGGAAAATGAATGCCTTTGAAGACAGTAAAAACTGGAGAACCCGTCACAGAAATCAAATATATTTGGTTGGCTTTTAAAAAATTTCTCCAAGATTTCATCTTCTATTTCAACCCACTGTTGTCAGAGTTCCCCAAAACTCAATTAATTATCTCTGTTTTCCATTGATGATGGATGGTGATGATTAGTGAAGCTCTATTTACAAATGCTCTTTTTATGTGGTAGCCCCAAATGTTATGGAAGTTTTCGTCCCTTGAAATCAGATTGGTCTCTACTTCATTTTCAATTTCATTGTACCCATGCAATGCATTGATGATAAACGTTTGATCTGATTTGATTATTTAAGGAAAATACAAAACAGAGATCTATTGAAGAGGGCTTTTGACATACAATTGGTACATAGCCCTGTTTATGTGGTTGTTTTTGAGCAGTTCTATGCAGGTAGTCCTTGACTTACAGTAATTTGTTCAGTGACCATTCAAAGTTACAGCATCACTGAAAAAGTGATTTATGACCATTTTCACACTTATGACAATTGAGGTATCCCATAATACATGAAATGATTCATGTTCTGACCATTTTATTCTTGACATGATGAGTCTCTTCATTGTCTTGAGTTTAAAAATTGAATAAAGACAAGTGGTCTAAGCCAGTATTTCTCAGCCTTGACAACTTTAAGATGTTTAGACTTCAATTCCCATGATCCCAACCTCTTCACCTGTAGTGAAACCACACAGGTGATAGAAAGAAAGAAAGAAAGAAAGAAAGAAAGAAAGAAAGAAAGAAAGAAAGAAAGAAAGAAAGAAAGAAA